ATCCTCAAGGTTTTTAACGTCACTTTAGATGGACCAGAACCAACCAATTAAACAGGAAATGGATTTTGCAAATGTCTACCTCACTGTCAGAAACTGCTGAGTAGGGCTGTCCAAATTTCGAAATCCAACACTTTCCTTGTTCAAATAATAAAAGGCTGACATTTTGTCTCCCAAACTGTGAGTTTAGGTAAATGGCAACCTGTACTTTCCGGATCATCGATGTCGCCATTGGTGATGAGGGCAACGAATTCTTTAGTCTATTTCCTAAAGCATTCATTTTAGTAAAGCTTTCACTTTCTAATACGTCGTGAACGTAGAAAAATTAACAATATAGATTTGTCCTGATATCTGGTAATTTAACAATACATCTTCTGTTGGGGTTTAGTTTTATTTACCTTATTCATTGTCTGTATGGGTTTATAAAGGAACTTAATGTTACTACGGTAGGAAACATTTCATCAGTTACGGGAAAAAAATAGTTGAACACTTATGAAGAAAATCATGAAAACAACACAGCAATACTAAAATTATTTCCACAGATTCGCTAAAAAATGAGCATGCCATGATGAAAAAATACCCAAACTTAATAAAAACAAAATTTTATAATCAAAATCTTTATGTTATTATTAGGAAAGACCAAATGATTTTTTGATTATTAAATTGTATTTTTTGATCGTTTTTAGAACGTTCGAAATTTTGATAATATTCTTGCGTCAGCAAAGATAGGATTAATATAGGACATTTTAGCGTCATTGATTTGGAAATTCTTGCAAAAATTAAATAATTGTTTCGGATTTTAATGAAACTTCCAGGATTATTCACAAATAAATTAAATTATTTCAAAAATGTTTCTTTTTTTAGAAAATTTTGGTATTTTTTTTACATCTGTTAACACCCCCTTTACACACACACACACACACACACACACACACACACACACACACACACACACAAAAGAAATTAAATTTTGTAGAGCTTAATGTTTTTATTAGTTATACACAGAAATACTTGAAGAATTTATATCATCATCTATTTTGTAAGACAAAAACCCCAGTTACCAAAAATTTACTTTGGATCGTAAAATAAAAATATGCAACAAAATTAAGACATTATTTATCTATAAAAACTTTTAATTGCTTTTATGAATAATATATATTATGGAAACTATTGCCTTAATAAAATCGATGAATAATGAATTTTTACAAGAATTGTTTTCATTTTTTTTTTAATTAAAATAATTTATAGAATATTAAATCGTTAAATTTCTATATTCATTTGTACCGGTTGGGTGATATTTTTGTTAAGTAAAATCTATATTTACTAATCTTAAATGGAAAAGCTTAGTAGAGTTCAGTGACCAACAATATTTTTAAAAGAATTTTGATTTTTTTTTGTGTGTATAATAAACATGCCGATTTTTGTAAATACATTGATCAATAGACGACATTATCTGAAAAGTAAATTTAGAAGCAAAATACCTAAAATTCAATAAAACATTAGATTACGGAGAATATTTTCTTAAATATTTAAGATTACTGGGTAGCTAAAAATTACATAAAAAATGCATTTCTGCGATATTTTAAACTAAAAGTAACATTTGTTTCAAATCAAATTAATTAAACTTTAAATCAGCTAATAGTTGTCGAATAAAGTTTTCGAAAAGTACATCTTATTTTTGAAAGATTTTTTTAATAAAGAGAAATACATTGAGATGACAGTTGGCTAAAAATGGCGATAAAAATCGGCGATAAAAATCGGCGATTTCAAAATAAAAACTCCTTTCAGTCGATGTAAATTGGTTTTGAAATACTGCAAAGTATTTTGCTTCTTGGAAATATTAAATTTAATCTATTAACTTGAAATTAAAACTAAAATACTAACTCCAAGAAAGATTTTTAATTTTTAAAAATTCATTTTAAACCTTAGGTATCGAATTTTTGTAGAGGTAACTACTACTAAAATATATCGATATCTTTAACTCGGCTTTTCATGGTTTGGTAAATCCCATGTTTCAGCACTTTTTAAAATGAACCACCATTAATTCGTTGATTGGCACCAAATACAGCGCCACATGTTGTTTTCACAGCAACTGACAGCAGCAGAGTGTTTTGGTGATACGGTCTTGTTCATTTCGTATATTTAGCTGAATATTTATTCATTCAGGATGATAAGCATATATTATTTTTTGGTTTTAGGCTTTTTTTAGCATTTATATGAAACAATAAAAACCATGTTTGGATGCATTAATGATTATTTTCTTTCCTGTTTTAAGCTTTGTCCTACCGTTGATAACACATCAATATATATGTAAAATAAGCTGTCAAGATTATGTTTACATAGGGGGTCATTTGATTTCTATAATCCGGTATCATCATACTTATTATAAAACCCAGGTAGCGTGTGTGTGTGTCTGTACGTTTATATATTCGATCGGATTTCCTACATTTTTCAATCGATTTCAACAAAACTTCACAGGACTACGTAAAATTACCTTCCGGTGTTTCTGACAGCGCCAAAAATTGGAAAAACACAATTCTTTTTGCACGAAATCAATTTGAAAACACGATTAAGAGGCATCACTGCCGCCAGAATGAAAGGGGGACAACTCATATCGAGTTATACTTATTATAAAACCCAAGTTGGTTGTTTGTATGTGTGTGTTCGTTTATATATGGGATCGGATTTCCTACATTTTTCAACCGATTTCAACAAAACTTCACGTTTTTTTTTTTTTGGCAGGTAGTGTTTCTTATTGTCTTGCACATTTTTTTCTTTATTTTTACATTCAGAATGCTTTAAAAATTCCATTTACAAGACAATTGTTTATAATAAAATTCTATTCACCAATCGATAGACTCATAACGATTGCAAACAATGTTTTTGTTTGAATTTGGGTTTGACCATTTCGTAAAAAAAAAAAAAAAAAAAAAAATAAATAAAAAAAACTAATTAAGATATGCGTGTTCGTCAACCTTAAACAATAATCTTTGTCAATTTTATTTTTCAGTCTTTATGATGGTCGATACTTGATCTATCTCTTACTATTACATCCCCGGGCAACGCCGAGTTCTACTGCTAGTTCTCTATATTCCGACAGTGTCCAATTTCAAGGGTGCCGGATTAAAGAGGTCGGACTCTATATACAATTGAGCTTTTTTGTTTGTTTGGTTTTTAATCGTTTCATCCCAAGCAAGGAGATAATGCCACTAGAACTTTACAGGGGTTTACAGGGAATGAAGGAGAATGAGAAAACTTTAGTGGAGAGGTTTGAGAAAAAGAGAAAAAAGAGACAAGTTTCAAGAAGACAGAAGATGCCAATTGACGTTGCATTTAAATTTTTGAAGATTGTATTTATCATGGAAGGGAGAAATCAGAAGTCAGTTCCATTGGTGAGAAGTGTGGGAAAAGAAACTTAGAAGAAGTAGAATTGACGGTTGCATCTATTTAGTTCAACAGTAAAACGGTGAGACCTAATTGCCAATCTAGTAGAACGCTTAAACTCAGGAAGTCGAGGCACCAGGAGGAAAAAAACTCACCAGAACAGTTGTCATGAAAATATTTGTAGAAAGACAGAGGGAAGTTGAGATGCCTGATCAGGATTGATTTCTTAGAATTTCGTCAATAATCTCGAAATGTACAGTATTCAATGCACAGACGAATGGTAGATCTATAAATGTGCAAAATGGATTCTGACAAGAAAGTAAGACCTCTGATCGGGAGGTTTTTAAGGAACGTTGAACCTCTTAATTTCTGTTGTCCATCCTGGCTCGGGTGGTAGCACCTGTTAGGGTCCCAGCTATAGGAAAATAGTGAAATCCCAAACTGGGTTAAATAAATTGAAAGTATAGATTTAAAAAAAATAAATTCCCAGAATGTTATAGTGGAACACACCTATTCTATAGTTAATAGACTCTCCCACCTATAATAAGTAGGAATAGTAAGAGTAACGAGTGAGTCGCGAGGTCGCTCAGTGAGTTGGTCAGTCAGTCGATGCCGGACGACCGTTAGTCGGATACTAAAGTATTAGCGACCACAACTAGATTTACTCTGCGTCATACCTATTATATGAAGTTCCTAACGTTTTGTACGTCGAAACTATTTTAGGACCGACTTAGTACAAATACAAGCCTCCACTGTGAAATCCCTCCATTACACAGAAACAGATTTTTTCAAAAAGCTCCCAAGAAAATTAAATTTCGGCATCAAATGACCCATGAGGCGTTGATATGCCGTTAAACAAACAAAACTTTCCTTGCAATAGATCTAGAAACATTTATAGAGTGAAGCTCAAAAGTATCCGTACAGTACAATCAATTTCATTTAAAATAAGATCATTCATTTTTCCAATATTAAAACAGAATTTTTTTTCATCTATATTATTAAAGAACTGATTCTCTGTCCGTTATATATGTGTTTGTAAATGCGCAGAGTATAGTCCCGGAAGATATTAAGGCTTCACATTTCCTCCTCGTACTCCTGTAGAAAATTCTGACGTCCAGATTTTTTACATTCAAAATCCGAACGTTAGAATTTCAAGTAATAAGAAAATAATTTTTATTCATAAATTAACAAACACCTAATAAATAATTAAAATGTGTGAAACAGCTATAAAGAAATCCTTATTATTTACCATTTTATAAAGTTCGAATCACTGATGTTTTGCCGACTATTCCAATAACCAATATAATAAATAGTGTAAATAAACAATCTAATAGTGTTTATTATTTTTGTTGTCAATTCTCAAGAACAAAGAAAATGTATCAATTTACTTTTATATGTTTAGTTTTTATTACAATTCTAATCCTCGCTTTTTAAAACAATAAACATTATCAATAAGTGAAGGTAGATAAAATAACAGCGATTTCAAGGAAAAAAACGTCCTTTTGACACTGTCTTTTTGCAGTTACAATTGTTAAGGAATGCCGATTAGTCTTTTTACGGTTTATCAACCCTTTGTGGGTTATTTAAAGCTGAAACACATTTCGGGTTGTATGAGGTTGCTTACAGTACCCGGTGTTCCCAAGAGGTCCCCCATCTTATTACTGATTGGACTTGACGCTACTTAACTGTGGTGATCGAACGGGAACCGGTGTTTTCACTATGATTTGACCGTAGATTTCCTGTATGGAAACGGCTATTCTCATCATTGTCATTATCATATTGCATAGAAGCGAAAACAAAGATATGATTAATATGTTGACTTTCCGAATTACCAAACAAATGTTTGGAAGGATATTGCTATTTTTCAATCTACCGTATCTACTCGTGTATAAGACGATTTCATGTATAGTACGAACTTTGAATTTTTTGGCATGAATTTTAACCCATGCAGTAAAAATTTGCCTGTGTATAGTGCAACTGGTCATTGAAAATGCATGAATTTTAACACCTCCAGCAAATATTTACCTGTCTATAGTGCAATTGGTCATTGAAAATGCATGAATTTTAACATCTCCAGCAAAAATTTACCTGTGTATAGTGCAACGGTTCACCGATAATGCACAATGTTTAACCTTTTTAAAAGAATTACCTCTGTATAGTTCGCTCCACTATTTTTTGCATAAAAAGAGTGATCATAAAAACATGCACTGTATTCGAGTATATATGGTAATAATTTAAATATATGCGATATTTAGGTAGCAAGAATTGATCCAATTAAGTTTTGCTAAAATTCAACAAACATTGTATTTCATTTTTATTCCAATCATTGACTAATATATTGTACTTCGGAGTCCAGCATGTAGATAAATTGTCTTTGCCCAACAAATTTCTTCTGTTAAATTACATTTAACATTCAAGATATTTGTTGGCGGAATCAACAGTAAATTTTAGCTATCGCCAGGGACTTATTTTAAATGTCTTTTTTAGGCATTTTTAGTAATTTTATAGGAAATTCTATCGTCCAAGTTTTCGTATATGAAAAATCAGAACGCCGCGAAAATATCCTGTCAAACAACCTCTTAACGAGATATAAAGAAAAAAAAAAAAAAAAACGAAAGGTGAGAGGCAACAAATTGGTGTCCCCCACAACAATATAATTATGTTAACGTAGTTGACTGTAGCATAATGTTTTCTCTAGGCTTCTAAATGTGACTCTAATGTTTGATGTCAGAAAGCGTAGCTTTCCATACAGAACGGGGGAAAAGTAAGCATTTAGAAGGTGTGATAGCTTTGATTTGTTTAATCGCCTCTAAGGTAGCAACGCCTCTAATTATAGAAACATGAATAAACACGAACATGAATTTCTAGAACAAATGATAACGGCTATTTATTAGACGGAATACTGGCGCTATGAAAAAGAAAAAGGATTGGTCTCTGTCAGAGCAATTAGTTCGTTGTGGGCAAACATCGGTCATAAATCACACGTGTAAGCTCTTCGGGGGCTTATTTGATTTTACTATGTGTACTTACAAATAAATCCAATTATCTATCGGCGGGCGTTAGTTCACTTGTCAAATTCATCGTTTGAGAGAAGTGAGTAGAATTTTACGTCGCCGATGTGTCGAGTGGATGCGTCGCTCCAGGTTTATCGTTGTGCTTGCTTCTCCTCTGTTGCTCTACCGCTAACTGTTTAAATACTGATTCTTCTCTGCTTATATCGGTAGAGATAGGCTCAACAATTTTAGGTTCTCGATCTTCCGTTTGATCGGCAAACGTTGAATCCTTAATTCTGATTTTCTGGTTTTGTTACGGCGTCTAAATCTCATAGTTAACTACTGCTTTAATCCTGGCTACATCCGTCCGTGCGCGGGAAAATATATTTTATTTTATTCTATTTTATTTATTCATTTATTTTTGTGGGGTGCGACAAACATTACTACCGGTTATTGTCTGCTTTAAGGAGATATGTCCAGAAGGTAGAACACAAAAGTCTTAGTTTGATATGTACGGGAAAGTTTCTAACCGATCAGAAAATATTTTAATCAACCAAAATTGATAAAGTTCTCATATCTAATAAACGGATGTAGGCATCGAGTCTGTGCGAAGAAAACAAATTTTAGTCATTTGTTTATTGTCTTTTGAGATGCGCACTTCCGGTTTATCACTAAACTACTATAATTCGAACTTAAGAGATATTTCAAAATCACTAGGGATTAGGCTTAATGAATTATTTTAATCCATTATCTCCTTTATATCTGTTAATTTAATTAATAGATGAAACCAAAAAGTTGAAGTACATTTAGAATAAAAGTTGATCATTGTAAGTATTAAATTGATAGTTGTTTAATTTCCAAAGAATGATGATCATTTTCTTCCCGATTTTCAAAGTATTCTTCTACTTTATGTGCCGTGTCGTCTCAGGATGTAGGCATTCATGGCTCTCCACAACTTTCTATCCCGTATGGCTCTTAATAAATGTTGTTTCCGTTATTTAACCCAGACCCTGTCCCGCCATCCATTTACTCAAGTTCACTAAGTACGTTATGCATTGTTTTAAAGCATTAGCTAAGAATTTCCATTACACATGTAATAGCCCTATTTTATCAGCTATGCTTGAATTAATTTCTGACCACTGACAATCCCTTTCTTCCTTATGTTCAATACATTCTTGGAGTAAAATCATTAGCAATGCATTTACATTATATATATAATAGCCTTATTCTATTAGTAATGCTTGACTTCATTCCTGACCACTGACAATCCCTTTATTCCTAATTTTCAATGCATTCCTATAGTAAAATCATTAGCAATGTATTTCCATTATACATATAATAGCCCTATTCTATCAGTAATGCTTGCCTTCATTCCTGACCACTGACAATCCCTTTATTCCTGATTTTCAATGTATAGTAAAATCATTAGCAATGCATTTACACTGTACATATAATGCCATTAATCTCATCAGATTGAGACTTTCATATGGAAGCCATGTTTTGTGCAAGACTTGTTTAGAAATATCTAAAGTGGTGACTGCTTAAACTTTCTCAGATCAATGCTAAAAAAAAAACATACTCAAATAAGTGACACATATAGGTCTCATGAAGGAGCACCCTTAATTGAACCTTTTGGACTGGCATAACAGAATCTTGAACAAAGATAACAAAAACCGCATCACCAGAAGATTTAAACATCAACAGCAATTAAAATGAACACCACAACTAACTTGAAGAAAAAATAATGATATAATCAAGATGCTGATGTTCAGCACAAAATCAAAGAAAAGGTTATGAAGGAAGACCCCATGAATATCTATCTAAATCTGTTCATTATCTATCTATCAATCTGTCTCTCTCTCCATATATATATATATATATATATATATATATATATATATATATATATATATATACCTAAGTCTATTCATTATCTATCTATCTCAATCGGTTCATTATCTACCTTTCCAAATCTATTCATAATCTCTCTATTTCAGTCTTTTCATTATCTATCTATCTATCTATCTATCTATATATATATATATATATATATATTTATATATATATATGTCTGTTCATTATCTACATTCATTATCTATCTATCTGTTCATTATCTAAGTCTGTTCATTATCTATCTTTCTATCTAAATCTGTTCATTATCTATCTATCTATCTATCTATCTATCTATCTATCTATCTATCTATCTATCTATCACTCTGTATGTATATATATATATATATATAAGTCTGCTTATTATCTATCTGTTTATCTATTGATTTCAGTCTGTTCATTTGCTATCTATCCATGTATCGAAGTCTGTTCATTACCTCTATATTCATTATCTATCTATCTATCTATATTTCTATCTAAGTCTGTTCATTATCTATCTATATCTATCTCTCTATCTATCTATCTGTCTGTCTAAGTCTGTCTAATTCTCTTTATTTACCTATTTGTCTATGATGCTGGTTTCTATACTAACTCAAACAAAATTGTTTTAATAGAAATATTTTATAAATTTCAACTGAAAACAGCAGTGGCCGCTTGGTCAATGAATGCCATATATTTCCTTATGAGGAAACAGCTAATATTATCATTACCATTCTATCTGTAATGTTTACATTAACTCCTGACCATTGATAATTACAAAGAAATATTAGTAAACAATGATGGTTGCCAAAGCTTCATCTCAAAGAAAGACGGAAAATATGGATAATAAAAATGAAGCAAAATTAAGAAGAACAGTCAAAAATTTAACAACTATTCTTATGTTTCATCTAATAGAATTTCAATGTAATATTATTTCTAAAGACCAGAGACTGATGTGCTAAATTGTGAATAAAAGCAGGTAAAAATATGATGAAAGAAATGGTAGAAAAAAATTAATAATGTGTGGCAATGTTTTCTCTCATAAAATTGCCTGAATATTTTTTTATGAAAAGGATGTAAAATTAAGATGAAAGAAATAAAATTAATATTCTGGGGAATATAGTATTAAGGAAATAATAAACTAAGAAAATTCCTTTATATATACATATATATATTTTTAATTAATTCATCGAGTCTGATAGAAACCTCCACAGAATGCAGAAAGCACTGGACGGCCGTTTCGTTCTATATTTGGCACTCATCAGCAGTGCGCATCCACTACCGAGAATTGAAACCCTGACAGTTAGGTTGTTAAGCTGACATCATACCAACTGTTCCAAGTGGGCCTCGGTGACGAAGAGATTCCAAATCAGACTCAACAATTAGTAATTAGTCGGAGGATTTGATAAATTTAATTAATTCATCGAGTCTGATAGAAACCTCTACAGAATGCAGAAATAAATATATATATATATATATATATTTAATAAAGTGTTTTATTATTTTCTTCTATTTGTACTTGGAAAAATTCTTGTATAAAATCTACAGTGATTGTAATAACCTTTCACTGATTGGTAAATGCTGGCAGCATGCACCAGCATTGTTGCATTTGTGTATGACATCTCCTTGTGCACTTTGAACTTATCAGACTTTAAACTTGATAGGTGATCTTGGATATTACTGGATAAGCTCAGCAATTATCAAGAGAATCTATTAATTTGTACGTTTTGACTGCATATGTAACCTTTCATGGAAAATGGCAGAATTCTGGAATAAAAGACATTTTAAGTGTAGCTTTTCTTTTCACTTTGGCCAACTCTTTCACACTTCATCTTCATTTTATTATTTTCATCCTATCCATGTATATCACTATCCAAACTTATCTATCTATCTAGTTTATTCATATCTATCTATCTATCTATCTATCTATCTAGCCAGGTCTGTTCATTTTCTCTCTATCTATCTATCTATCTATCTATCTATCTATCTATCTATCTATCTAGTCAGGTCTGTTCATTTTCTATCTATCTATCTTTCTATCTATCTATCTATCTATCTATCTATCTATCTATCTATCTATCTAAGCCTGTTCACCTATCTATCTATCTATCTATCTATCTAAGCCTGTTCATCTATCTATCTATCTATTCAATTTATTCATATCTATCTAGATTATTCATATCTAAGTCTGTCCATATCTATCTACTCATTCATATCATACTTATTCATATCTATCTAATTCTATTCAACTCTATCTATCTTTGTTCAAATCTATCTATCAATTGTTCTATCTAAGCTCATTCATATCTATCTATCTATCTATCTCTATCTATCTATCTATCTATCTATCTATCTATCTATCTATCTAATTCTATTCAATTCTTTATATCTATCTATCTATCTATCTATCTATCTATCTATCTATCTATCTATCTAATTCTATTCAATTCTTTATATCTATCTATCTATCTATCTATCTATCTATCTATCTATCTATCTATCTATCTATCTAATTCTATTCAATTCTTTATATCTATCTATCTATCTATCTATCTATCTATCTATCTATCTAATTCTATTCAATTCTTTATATCTATCTATCTATCTATCTATCTATCTATCTATCTATCTATCTATCTATCTATCTATCTAATTCTATTCAATTCTTTATATCTATCTATCTATCTATCTATCTATCTATCTATCTAATTCTATTCAATTCTTTATATCTATCTATCTATCTATCTATCTATCTAATTCTATTCAATTCTTTCTATCTATCTATCTATCTATCTACTGATTTCACTTTTTCATATCTATCTACCTATCTGTCGGTTTATATTCATTTTTAGAAATTTAATTTTTTAAGTAATTTTTGTTAATATGATTTTTAAATATTTTTTAGAAATTATAATTTAAAATAATTCTTTGTAGAGATCATTTTTAAAAATTATCAAAAAAATATAATTTTTAATTCATTTTCAGATATACAATTTTTAAGTAACATTTTAAGAATATGATTTTCAGGAATTTTTTAGAAATATAATTTTCAAGTAATTTTTTAAAAAACATAATTTTAAAGTAATTTTTAGAAATATGATTCGTAAATAAATTTCTGGAAATGATTTTAAAGTAATTTTTCAAAAAATATAATTTTTAAATAGCTTTTTGAAATAAGGCTTTGAAGTAAATAAGACTTTTAAGACATTTTATTTAAAAAATTGGGAAAAGTTTAGTATATGTTCAACAAAAGAATAAAAGGTAACATATCCCCAAGATGAGAAAAACAAACACAAAACCTTTATAATCCTGGCACTGATCGGTAGATAGGTAAATGACATTTGGGACATTTTTGATGCTACTTCTATCTTCTGTCATGACACATTAATGGATCAGATCTTCTATTCAGCTCATGAGAACTCTGTCTATCTGCACATTTTTGACTATGTCTATCTCCTATCTCTGACTGCTAACTTTCTCCTATGGCCACTCTGCCTATCTCTACATCATTACTGACAGTCTGTCACTGACCCTTATTTAGAATGCTGCCCCTGACCAGAATTTTCTATCTTCCTGTCAAGTGGCACTTGATCCTGAAAGTTTTTATTTATCAATTTATTGATTTTATATACATTTTTTTTTAATTGTGAGTAGTGGATGTTTACTTTGAAGCTCCCACACTTCTAAACAGTTGTTTGACATTAAAACTAGACCTAGATAAAATCATTTACAGTTTGCTAAACCACTAGATTAGTGTTTCTCAACCAGTGCGCTCAGACACACTAATGCTCCCTGAAAGGTAGCCAGGTACTTCCCTGGTTAACTGAAGAGTAATCTATAAGGAGTGGATAATCCTTTCCCTTTTGACTTCTTCAAGAGATTTAAATCTGTCATTATCAGCCTCCCTAAAAAAATTAGTAGATTTTTCATAAATCTCTATAAATGAAAATTCTACTGCTATCCTGCATTTGAAATGCTAATGAGAGTATGTTTATCACGTATAAGGTCAAACATTCAAAAATTTCCAAAGTATATCAAGTTTTTATGCAAACATACTTAAATATAACAATGTAATGTTTTAAAAATAAATGCTTATTTCAAGAGACTTCTTTATTATTTTCATATTTTAAAATTTCTTGACTAATTTTCCTTATTAAAATTTAAAGTGCACCTTAGAACAGGTGTGGCCAAACTTGCTTAATGTAAGAGCTGCATTATGATAAAGTTCTGATGTTCGATATCTGCAAGACATGGACAAAATTTACACATACATTTTTGTTACATACGCATTGACATTAGACTTGAATTGGTGTTTCAATTCATGCCCAGTAAATAATTATAAAGCTTGAAATATTTCTTATTTACCTTTTATATTAACTGTAATGAAAAAAAGCAACATATTTCCACAAGTCGCATATTAAAGGTCAAAGAGTTGCATGTGGCTCACGAACAACGGTTTGGCCAATGCTGACCTAGAGTTTTTGTTATTCTACAAATGCGCCCTGAATTAAGAATTGGTGAGAATTACTGCACCAGATGATCACATCTCATTATGTCTTATAATAAGGTATTAAAATTAAGATACTTTCAGTCAATATTTTTAGTTATTACTGGTCAACTATACAACTTAAATGACAAAACCTGAAGGATTTTTTTTATTTCAATTCCAAACAACAAACTGCATAGTTTCCCTTTCAAAGTAACTACCCTCGAGTCTAAAGCACTTTTCTATCTTTTTCCGTCATGAATATACACTACTAGAAGGATTCTTCTTGTATGCCCTTCAGTTCCATCGTTATGGCTCACTTGCTGGCCTCCACGCCTTCAAAACGGGTTGTCTTGATGATTCCTTTGAGCTTGGGAAAAAGAAAAAAGGCACACGGAGCAAGATCAGGTGAACAAGGAGGTTGTTCCAGTACGGCGATGTTCTTCTCGGTCTGGAACTGCTGGATGCTCAGGGCATTGTGAGCAGGTGCATTGTCGTGGTGAAGCAGCATGATTCGTCCTGCTACAACTCACGTCTGTTCTCGTACACTGAGCGAAGCAAGCACCACAGGATCTCTTTGTAGACTCGCTGATTTGATCGTCTGTCTCTGTGGCTCACTGTGGACGATGCCTCATAAATCGAAGAATCGATAAATTCCGTTACTTTTAAGACAAACCTCGTATGTGTGTGTGTGTGTGTTTATAATAGGCCAGTGAAAGAAATTCGAGAGATAAAAAGCGATAATATTTATAATAACACTAATGATGTTTATTGTATATCAGTAGGCATTTTGACCAAATGGAAGCATAATAAGAAAAGATGATAAATATCGGAATTTTCGAACACGCCCGTGTCCTTTCTCAACGAGACGAGAAATTCTGAACGTTAACATCTTTCTCATCATTTGGTCGAAAGCCCTACAAATATTCAATAGCTCTATTATCTATATTATTATTTTTATTGTTGTTTTTCTCTCACGAATTTCTTTCTCTGTTTTATTATAACTACATATCATAAGAAGGTATACGTGGACAATCTTTGTTTGCTATCATATATATATATATATATATTATTTTAATTGTCGGACTTTGTCCATTTCATAATGTGTGACGTCATTTGTTTACATTTGATACGCCATCAGCAGATATGAATGTACGTGAGAGAATCATGGAAGATTGAAGTTTAAAAGCAGTAAATTCGACCTTGCTAACCGAACGCTCCCCTGTAGCCAAATCGGTTAAGGCACGTCAAGCTAAATGACGGTTCCGTATAGGATACAGGTTCGAATCCTGTCGGAGGACGAATGTTTTCTGTGAAATTTTCTCCGACATTCAGGCCGGTAAATGTTGTTTAATACTGTTTATTATAAACAGAGCATTTACTTAGATATTTGTATCTATAAAAAGAATGTATAAACATAAAAACGTCTTAATATACATATATATATATATATATATATATATATATATATATATATATATATATATATATATGAAACCCGGTTTTGAATCTCACCACAGTTGATTTGTCAGGAAGGCGACTTCCTGATGTTACCGGACTGGAGGGGACAATCCCAGCGTGGGGTACCGTTGGAAAGTGCCTGAAAACCATACCACGGTTTGACCTAAGCCTTGTGAGTGAAATTGGGTAAACGGAACACTTGGGGGGACCGTCGATAGCTGTGCTAGCACAAGTCATCATGACCGAGAGTTTGAGTGTGCTGGCCTTGTTCAGATTGTTGATCACGCTAGATAACATGCTCTCCTCCAGAAACTATAACTAAGGTCTGCTCAGTATATGTGCAGTATAAACCACAGGTGGGCTCTGTAGTTGTTGAACAAACACAAATGTGCCTTAGTGAGCGTCTGAATTAGGGATTGGCTAATCACCCTAGTAAACAGGTATCCTCGAATACGAGTGGTCAGCTACTATATATATATATATATATATATATATATATATATATATATATATACCCAAGTATATAATTGGTGTATACGGGATAAATTCCAATAACCAACAATTACTATTCTTAAAAGAGTGCTCAATACAAAGTAGAGCAGATATAATTATTTTTTATAAAAAAAAATTCATAACATAAATGTTATAAAATCACTGCAAAAATAGCCATTTTGTTTCAACACCCTCGGTGTCTTATCAAGTGATGATGTTGAATTTAAAATAAATGGTTTTAAAAGTTTCAAATTAATTAACGATCCTTCGCTAGGGGAAAACATTGTTACAAAAGCTAGAATGACCAATCAAAACCCAAGTATAGGAAGATTCAAAAGCTTGACAACGAAATCATGTTATAATAGCTATTCAGATCTTTAAAATACGGGCAATATTAAAAAGAACTCTTCCCCAAATTAACCTTTAACCAATCGTCACTTCACTTTTCCAAACTCAACTTTCCATTGGTTAAAGGGACACAAAAATGTAGCAAGTTGAGACAAATCCTTTTTTTCCCGCACAGCTGTCTGGAGCCTATTTGAAAACCCAAAATCTATAAAAAAGAATAGCTCGACTTAATTCAAGTCAATCAGACACTGAGTTTCAAGATATGTCAGCAGACTCCACGCGTGCCAACACACTGACTCAATAGCACTACCAGCCTCTCATCAACTCAACACAACTCGTACTACTATTGCCGCATGAAGAAACTTAACTTACAATTTACTAAAAAAAGTGACATTATCACTACGAAATAGTAATTGTACATTTAATCAACTATAGCATATCAGTCAAAGGCACACAACTCTTCATAACTTGAATCAACACTTACAATTGTCACACACTACACACTATTATTTGAACTCACACGATTGACATTTTACCTTGCAGAAATCAAACTGTTTTAATTTCACAAACTTAAACCATCAACATTCATTCACCAAATCTCTGCATGGACACTCTTTGTAATTTTATCTCACTTGCTACGTTTAACAAGCAACCTATCATCACTTTGTGTATGTCAAATATATATATATAAATTCACGTCATTGTTGAAATCTATAATACGTTGTTTTTTTCTTTGATTTCTTCAAGTTGTATTGTCTTCATATGTTCGTTTAATTTATTTGTTGTGGATAAATGCATAATGTACACGCACACTTTAGGCCTTCACATAATTTCACCTTCTGACACATCTTACTTAGCATAAATTCTGCAACAGACTCATTTCAAGCTCAGAAGTTCATAAAATGAATCAAGACAGACTAAG